TCTAAGCCCTGCCTTGTATAACCCATGTATTCATGCACGTGTGCTGAGTGAATGGGGGTGAGCTGCCTGCTCTGGGAAGGGTGCTGTTCCAGGCATCTCTCCACATGCTCATGCTCCTAGTGGAGTAACTCATGAGCAGCTGTGGGGACAATAAGTGAGCTGTCCATCTGCAGGTCCAGCAACGGGTCAGGGTCCTTGCTACGGCATGGATCCATTGCTCACGATGTGGGGAGGAAAGCTCCTCCAACACGGTAGATCCCATATTGGGTCCCCATGTGTAAATGCCCCCTTTGCACCACAAGTGCACGGACGTGTTATTGCAATTGCCCTGCATGATGTGCCAGCTGCTTCCACCGCTTCCCTGGCGAGGAAGTCTCCCTGTCTGAGCCAGACAAGTGGGGATTTGTTAGTCAAGTGCTGAGGAGGCTCTTTGTGCTGGACGGGCTGCTAGCTAAGCTCTGGCCATGGGAGAGCATCAGCGCCAGGCTCAGCGGGGTCTGCCGGCGCACCGCGGGCCGTTCTCCGGCAGCTTGGAGCCAGCAGAGATGCAGCCTGGCCTCCCGGCAGGCTTCCCCTTGTCTCCAAGTCCCCTGAGCCAGCAGGAAACTTAGCAGCCGTCCCAGGTCCCTCTTCTGACTTTTAACCACACAGCAGAGCCCTGCCCCATCTCAGCTGGGGGCACAGGCATCTGCTTAGGGAGAGCTGTGTTGGAAGCTGCCAGCTTGCATTTGAGGTTTTAGCTAGAACCTGGCTTAGTAACCCCACGGGCCGGGGAACCGCATTGGCACCAAGCATGCTTCCAAACACGGATGACTGCAGTTTTAGCTGCGGCGTGCCAGGGTCTCGGATAGGCAGCTGGCACCTTCTTGGTGCCAGCTGTAGCACTGCCGGCTGGAGCATCCTCTCTGGGCTGTTCCCTGGCACCCTTAAGAGTGGTAGAGCAAAGGGGTTTGTCCTCCTGTCACCTCCTAGGTATGCGTACATCGAGTTTGAAGACCAAAGCTCAGTGACGGTGGCTGTGGCACTGGATGAAAGCGTGTTTCGTGGTCGGGTCATCAAGGTGAGGCTGGCAGGAGTGACTGGGGGGGTTGTCTTCCAGGTCTGTGCCAGGATGGGCTAAGTTAGCGGTGCCCAGGCTGGCTAAGGGTTCACAAGCTCAGCTCGGGGGATGAGGACTGCTGTCGTTTAGGCACCTGGCTTCAGCAGGGGCAGTCAGGGCTGTGCTCTGTAGTCTGGGTGATGGAGAAGCCGTGTGCTTCCTCCCACCCGGCTGCTGGCGAATTAAGACCTCTGCATATGCCACCTGTGTGCTTGGAGCTGGGGGTTGCCTTCTCCCCGGGGCAGCGAGGGAGCAAGCTCCAAGCCTTTGGCTGTGTCCTAGGTGCTGCCCAAGAGGACCAACATGCCAGGCATCAGCACGACTGACCGTGGTGCCTTCCGGGGCCGTGTCCAGAGCAGGGGGGGCCTGTGTTACGGGGCAAGCTTCTGCAGAGGGCAGCGAGCCTGGCCACGCGGCAGGGTGTACAGGTGAGGGTGGCGTTCCCTGCTGCTGGGGGGCCAGCGGTGGAGCGCAGACAGTGCTGGTCATGGGCACAGAGCCCAGGTGTGCTGCCTGCGAGGCCTGGGTCCATCCGGCCTCTGCCCGTGCTTCAGGTGGGCTGGAGAGCAGGCATCGCTCTGCTTTTATAAGGGACTGGCTGTGCACTCTGACACTGTGTTTGATCTTGTCCAGGAGCCGGGGACGGTTACTGCCGTGGTATTCTCCCTACTAGACAAGGACAGGATTGCGCTGGAGATGGCAACAGGACTGCATTTAAAAAACCACAAGGGATGGGGGGTGCTGAAAGGGAACCGGGGTGAACAGAAAGAAGTGCGGGGTGTCTTGTCTGTGTGCGGTGCAGCAAAGGGGGTGCTGTATTCTGTGCCGTGCTGGCACCTTTCCAGGCATTTTGGGGGTTGCCCTGCGGGTCATTCTTAGGGAGCCCATTCATCTCCCTGGGAGGGAACCCCACATTTCTGAGCATGGCATGACCAGAACAGAGAAACCGAGCTCCCCCGTGGCTGTTTTCATCCTGTAGAAGCTGCAAGAAATGGGGTTTAGGCACCTACAGCAGTCGGCCCATGTGCCAGCCTGGACCAGAGCTGTCAGGGGCATCTTGCTTTCTCTGCCACGCTGAGGGGTGCAGACACAAGAGCCAGGTGCCTTGAATTCTGTTTTCTGGGACCCACTCGTTCAGCTCATCAGTGCCCAGGCTCGGTGGGATATCTCTTGGGCACAAGCAGATCCTGGAAGCAAGGTGGGATTTCTTCTACCCCCTGAACTGTTGATGGGAGTGGAAGGGAAAAATCCTTGGTGAAGCAGCTAAAAGACAGATTCCACCCCCCACCCCACTTTTTTTTAAATGTTAGTTTTAAAGACTGCCTGGGTTTCATCTCCCTGATCTTGCTGTTAAAATAGGTCTGTTGTGCATCCTGGGGTGGGGTGACTAGAGAGCCGTGCCCGGCCCTGTTCCTCTGATAAGGCTTGTGTTAACGCCGGTCGTTGCATGAGATCTACCCACGCACAAATCCTGCTTGGAAGCTGCGATCCAGGACCCGGGGGGTGCAGGGAGCGTCTTCTTGAGCTGCACCTCCCAGGGGCTGGGGCTGAATCCAGCCCCTAGAGACAAGTGTGCATTCGCAGGGGGGCCTAAATGCAGTCTCCCTTTATTCCTGACACTGTTCTCACAGTGGGGAGGTCTCATCTTGAGGCCTGAGGCTCTCAGAGCAGGAGCTGTTTCAGGCTGGGAGTGCAAGGGCTAAGCATATGGGGTTCATGCTTAGCAGCTGCCTGGCACAAGCCATTGCTCCTGGTCTCCCTTCCACATGCACCTCGACCGGCTGATTTTTAAAGGAAAATTATTCTTGGTTTAAAAAAACCCTAGTTAATATTTGGCATTAAAAATTTAATTTTAATCTAACTCTTGCCCTGATCTTTCAGGACCTTTGTTCAGGATTCCTTTACCCCAGAGCTGCAGGTAAAATAACCTTGATAGTCAGCTAAGGGGACACTGCCAGGTACCATTCTGTCTGGGGAATAAAAAAAGACGTCTCTCCTGTATAACACCTGCTCGCATGCCTGCTCCAAAGGAGAGTCGGGAAGCTTTCCGTTCTGGATCTTGTGAAATCTTATGGATCTAACAGTTTGGACTGCAAGTTCTAGACACAAATCCCCAAAATCTCATGTTTCTCTGAATAAACTTGGGAAGCCCTGGGACTTTCATTCTTGAAGAATAAGTTTGTTTTAGATGCAAAGTACCTGGCAGTGACTGTCTTTTAAGATCACTTGTTGAAAAGGGAATGCTGAAATCTGGTCTTGACAGGCACAAAGATTTAACTCACTTTTATGTGTAACGGTTTATAAAAATAGCATTGCATTTGTTGGGGGGAGGGGTGGGAGGGTGGGATAACAGTTGCTGTTTCCAACGTGTTATGTTCCTGAGAGAGAACTGTAAATGTCATTTCTATAATTTTTTTTAAAAAATAAATGCTCTTGCTGTCTAGAAAAATCTTTATCCCAAATGAAAGTTCACTTGGCTGTGGCTCTGATCTAGCATCCCCTAGCAATAGCAATGTGTGTTTGCATGTGGGTGGCGGATAAACAAGTGTAATATTTGTGTTAGCTCCCCTCAATTTATTGCCGCCATATAGCCCTGGGAATGGTCTGCCAGCTGTCTGCTTGGACTGATAAGTGTGCCTGTGTCAATAGCTGCAATGTATCCTTGTTGCATGGCTGTGGCCAGCCTATTTGAGGTAAGCATGGCCCTACAGTTTCTGGAGGTTTCTATGATTTTCCAGTTAAGACTAATTCACCTTCATTTGTCCAGATGCCTGCTCGGTCATTCAGCATAAAACAGGAGAGGACGGGTATTAGCCACGTTCCTCGTGTTTTGCCTATTAAGCTGGGACCATGCACTAACTCACTAGCAAACCTTGCCAAAACTAAAATGCCATGTCAGCACCCCTTCTGTCCACCATACGTGCTCATGGATAATGCAATGCAACTCTTTTTCCTCACGTTATTTTTTTAGGATTAAGCCCGCTGACATGTGTTGTGCCTTTGGCAAAGGACAATAATGTTCCTCCATCTTCATGGAGACTTTCAAGCTGCTTTCAAGTCTCCTCCCCACCCCAATCTTGAACATACCTTGGTCCTTCAAACCTTCCTCATCTGGCTTTTGCAGCAACCCCTCTGTCACTTGCCTCTGGAGCCTGTCCACAGCCTTGCTGGAAGGCAGTGCCCAAAACTGGCTGCCGTCTTCCATCTGACCAGCATGGAGGAGAGTGGTACTACCACCTCAATCTTATGTACACGGCTTCTCTTACTGCAGCTTCAAGTTGCTCTCTTGCAATAATGTCCTATTACTGGCTCAAGCTGCTTTCGTGAGCCACTCCAAGCTTCTTGCTAATGCTACTGCCAAACTGCATATTGCTCCTATTCTGGATTCGTGCATCTGCATGGTTATTTTTTTTATTCTTCCTTATGAGTAGAACCTTACACCGGTCTGAATTTCAGTCTGGCAATATTCCCATTCTCAAATCTATCAAGATGGGATCTTCCTCCCAGCCTCCAAGTGGCTGCAACCCCCTGCTTTTCTGTGTCATCTGCAAATTTGAGGAGACTAGCTTGTATCCTTACACTGCAGTCATTAATAGCAATGATAAATAGCTGTGGACCCAAAAGCCTAGCTCTTTGAACTGATCTCAAGGTATAATTGTCTAGGTTAATGCAATTAAAGCAGCTGCACATTTTGGGCGCTGTCTAAAGGTAGATAGAAAAAAATAGCTGCCAGTAGACTGTTGCTCATACCTCAGCACAGCATGAAGGATGTTCAGCTACTTGACGTACTGCTGTGTAATTGAGAAGAGTTCTTATTATCCTAAGAGTAAAGTAGAGGGGTGGCAAAAACAACCCCTCAGATGCCAAAAGCCCCCTCTAAGTTGTTGTACAACTGCAGTCTTGGCTTGTAACTACTGTCACATGGGATTTAAGCAATAATAGACACAGGGTGTGAGCTCCTGTGTTGCCTCAACTTCCACAGGTGGGGACCTTTGAGATCTTGGTTTGATGACTGTCACCAATGGGCCATCTCCATACCTCCAATCAAGTGAAGGAGTGGGTGAAGATACTTAAAAACCATAGTGTTGGGAACTTAACAGGCCCAGCGAGTTGTGTACTGAGCACTAAAGCCACTGTTGCCTCTTTTGCAGCTGTGTTGTTGTTGTTTTCCCTTTTGGTAGCTGCAGGCTCCCCCTACTTCATACCTCACTGAGGAAGCCAAACTGGAATAAGTGCAGTTGGAAAATGTGTTGAAGTGCTGTTAGTGGTTTCAGCAGTACAAATGGCAGCTAGCGTGGGAACAGCTACAGCAACAGATTGTCTGGGCTGCATTTAGTACTGCTAAAGCCTCTTCTAAAGGCTACAAGAAGCAGTTGGTTAAAGCAAAGATACTGTATGGTGCTTGAGGAGGAACATATGAGTCTGCTATTGTTAGGGGGGGGAAAAAACCTTAAGCTCTGATTATCAAGTCCTCCCTTGTGACTTGCTAAAGAGAAACAGACACAGGTAGCTCCCACTAGCATCAGGTTTATTTTATATACAGTAAGTGCAAACGCTGTATATACAGAGCACTTCATAGACACACACCTCTGTACAAAAGAATGGTCACAAGCAGTGAAAGGGAGGGGATAGGAGTAGCTTCAGCACACCTGCATCATCATGGAGGTCACCATGTTATCAAAGGCCCTAGAGAAGGAAGAGCACAAAGTAAAGCATTAATCTGGGATTGCTCTCTTACAAAGCCGTGTTGGTAGCAGGTAAGAAACCACTAACATTCTTGAACAGAAGGGCTTTCCAAGGCTTAAGTAGAAGTTTTATTTTTAACCAATGAGGTGCTCCATTAAGCAGTTATTTCAGCTTCATTAGAAGGAAAACAAAGCTGCCTTGCATGCAGGCTAGACTCAGTGCTGGGAAGCTGAAGCCTGATCTTCCACCTGCGGTAGCAGAATCTCCAGTTCACCATAAACCAGGACTTAAAAGTGATGGGCAGCATTCCTTCAGCTGCTCTGGGCTCATGGAAGCAGAGACTATACTTCCACACAGAGGCTGAGTTGTGCATAGCTGCAGCCTGCCCCATTAGACATGTCTAGTGGACATGACTGCAGACAAAGTGTGATTTTTCCCATGCTTCAATCAAAAAAGAAAAGGAAAAAAAATCTGGTCATTTAGGAAACAGGCTTTTTCTTTTCCTTTTTTTTTTTTTTGAGTCAGCATTTTAATATCACAGGTGTGAGGGTGAAGTCTGTGGAAAGCAGGTAAATAAAGTCTCTAATGAGGAGAGTGGAGACTTGAGCCTTCTATTACACAGCAACTGCCCAGAGAGAGCACAGCTGCATGTTTTGGAAAGGATTTTTGCAGCTCCCAGTTTTTAAACTGATCACCCACTGAAGTTCCATTCTTAAGCACTAAATCCTATAGAGCTATCACTAATAGCTCTGAGAGTCCCAGAAAAGCAACAAAATTGAGAGGATTACCGGAAGCAGCCCACTCACCTGGAATGAATACAGTCCCCGGGGTTATAGAAGGGGTTGCACATGATGTCTGTGTAGGAGTTGTGCAGCTTTCGGAACATCTGAAAAAGGATCATGGTTTGATTTTTAATTAAAACTTAAAAAAATTACTGTCAGATTTTTTTTCTTGCTCGTTTTTGCTTCTCAGCATTTTGTGAATCAGTGCAGTAGCAAAAAATACCGATCTAGCAAGTTGCATTCAGATTTCCTGCACTTACGCTGCGGATCTCATTGTCTCGAAGTGCTGTGTTCGAAGAATCTACCACCATAACAAACTTAACCTTGGAATTTGTCACGTAGCCGTATCTGCACAGCTGGTTAAGGAAGGTATTTCTAACACACACACACATAGCTGGCAAAGCTACCAAGATAAACCTGGAATACAGTCAAGGGAAAACAAAAAAGCCCCACAAGGGGAGGCTACCCTCAAACTATTCACATTCTAAGCCACGTTTAGGGGAATAAGGACAAGTCACAGGCCTTGGTCCCCCTTCTCTACTTTGATGGCACCCTTTGTGATAATTTATCCTCACACATATGCTTGAGAATTGTTCATAAACTAATTTAAGCTGGCAGAAGCGAATGTCTTTATAAACAGAAGAAATCTTGCTTGCATCCAAAGGCAGTCTTTTGTTTACTGTCAGCAATTGCACAAATAGCCTTCAATCGTGGTTTGTGATTAATTCCTTTGCTGCAGCAGGTTCTGAGAATCAACTCAACAGCTCTGATTATTCATGTCCATTTGGGTAGGGAATACCCCAGACCCAGTGACAAAAATCTTGCATAAATGAATTAACAGCATGGTAGTGAGACTACATACCAGGCATCCATTGCATTAGTTAAATTTACAATATCCTAACTTTTTAACTGGCAAAAAGGGAAGCAGAAAAGGTTTCTTTGGCTGGTTAAGCAATCAGCTAGTTTCACAAGTTTATCTTGCTAGCTTCCAGTGCAGCCACAGTCCTGAAATACTGATTTTATAGAAAGCAGAATGCCATGTTCCAAGAGTCCTACTTCCCTAACCAGCACTGCCGGGTAAAATCCTCTGGCCTCATCACAGACCTGTTGTCACAACTTTAGTTAAGTGAAGGATGAGGTATGAAACCTGACCCAACCAGAACTAGATCTTCCCAGTTGTCAGCAGCAGAAGAGCAAGGCCAAGAATAAACTGAACTGTTGCTAATCATTGACAAAGCAGCTGATACTTTAAGCCACTCTTTGGCATATGGCCTGGAAATTGCTCTGCAAGACCAGGCCAACACCAGGGGCCCCAAACAGGAATAGAGGTTCCCTGGGAGAGAAGTCTGCAGGGCAGAGTGACGAGATACAAGCGCAGGCGTGTGCTGTTGGGGAGTGTTGGATGCCTACTTCTAATAACATGTTCCGGTACCTAAAGACTTGAAACAGGGATTTTTCTTAAAATAAACTTCAAGAATACAGGACTGGATATTCCACCATTTCTGTGAATCCATATACTTCCCTCAAAGTGAATGAAACTACCTATTTACAGCAGCCAAGGAGATGATCCTCTGTAGTTTGCATCATTTGCAACTGTCAGTGATTAATAAGGATTCTAGTTAGCCTATTTAATTTTAAAAAGGCCAAACAAGATCACATCCAGGCAAGTAATTTGTTTCTGGCTTTATTTTTAGTTTTTCCTTGCTGCAGTGCATGTGTTTCAACGCCAGGGAGGCTGGTTTCATAGTTGGTAGGGTCAGAAGGGACCTGAGCAGATCATCAAGTCCGACCCCCTGCCATGGCAGGAAAGGATGCTGGGGTCACACGACCCCAGCAAGGTGTCTATCTAGCCTCCTTCTGAAGACCCCCAGGGTAGAAACAAGCACCACTTCCCTTGGAAGTTGGTTCCTGATCCTAGCCACCCTGACTCTGAAGTAGCGCCTCCTGATATCTAGCCTGAATCTACCCTCCGTCAACTTATGGCCATTATTCCTTGTCACTCCTGGTAGTGCTTGGGGGAACAGGGACTCTCGCACTGCCTGCTGGTTCCCCTTGGCCAGTTTACAGACGGCCACCAGATCCCCTCTCAGCCTTCTCTTGTGGAGGCTGAACAGGTTTAGGTCCCGTAGCCTCTCCTCCAGGGGCAGCAGGGCAGGCCCTGTGATCATGCGGGTGGCCTCCTCTGGACCCTCTCCGTGTTGTCCACATCTCTCCTGAAGTGCAGCACGCAGAACTGGATGCAATACTCCAACTGCAGCCTGACCAGTGCTGCATAGAGGGGGAGGATCACCTCCTTGGACCTGCTCGAGATGCATCTGTGGATGCATGACAAGGTGTGGTTGGCCTTCCTGACCGCTTCCCCACACTGTCAGCCCATGCTCATCTTGGAGTCTATAATGACTCCAAGATCCTTTTCTGCCTCTGCACTGATGAGAAGGGAGTTCCCCAGTCTGTAGGTGTGCTGCTGGTTCTTCCTCCCCAGGTGCAGCACCTTGCACTTGTCAGTGTTGAATCCCATCTTATTCTCATCCGCCTACCCCTGTAACCTGTCCAGATCCAATTGCAACCTGTCCTTCCCTTCTAGCGTGCCCACTTCTCCCCACATCTTAGTGTCATCCGTGAATCTGAACAAGGTTTGTTTAAACCCTATTGTTTTCCGTAGATTTTTTTCTCCTGGATGGTAGAAATAATTCTCAGTTTTAGGTTTCTCAAAAGCTGGCTTTTGCGAAACTTAAACAGAAGCAGCACTTTTAGTTCACACTTGCAAAGTCACCAGCTGTTTCAGCCAAATATATGTGGCTCATATCTAGGATCAGCACTTGTCCATTAAAAACCAAGCTGCAGGGCTGTTATTTCACAAAGCAGGATTGATAGTTGCAATGTCAAGTGATGCACTAGTAAACTGCACAGCCAGAGTCTAATTTCAAGCCTAATCCTATGCTCAGTGCATTCAACCGGAGTTTTGTTTGATTAAGGAGGGATGATAGGACCTGCCCCTGTAGAGAGCAACCGGGAGCTGTTAAAGATACACTTTGTAGTCTTCGGTGGGGTACAGGAGCCCCAGGTAGAGCTCTCTCTGATCGACGAGCGCCTTCCCCATCGCCGAGATCTTCTCATCCACCACGTCCAGGGAGGTGTGCACGGTGTAGTGGAATTTCAGCTCGTTCTCCGTGGGGACGCTCCGGATGTACAGGGGGTAGTTCTGCAGATGAGGAGAACAAACCGGGCTAAGCAGGGCGATCCGCTCCATCCCTGACTAGCCCAAGCCACGGGAACGCTCGTCATTACAAATACATTGAGTTGTTTCCAACTGAGGCTGCATTTCAGGGAACCCACGAGACTTGCCTGTTGCAAGCGGGCAAAGCCGACCCCGCGGCACCTTCTGGCAGCAGCAGGACACGGAGAGGAGCTGCTCGGGCACGGGTTGCAAGCAGCCTCCTGCCCCTGCCGGGGTCACCCAGCGTTTCCCCATCCCCACACGTCACAGGCAACCAGGTGTGGGGGGAAAGCAACGCACCCCGGGGCTCAGGTGCCACCCGCTACACCAACACAACCGCCTGCTAGCGCCCAGCCCCAGCGGTCTCCCCCCACAACACCCCTCCAGGCAGCCTAGCCCTCCCTCAGGACCCCCAACCTCCCACATCCTCACCCCCTCAGGAGCCCCCCATCAGGACCCACACGTCACAGGCAACCAGGTGTGGGGGGAAAGCAACGCACCCCGGGGCTCAGGTGCCACCCGCTACACCAACACAACCGCCTGCTAGCGCCCAGCCCCAGCGGTCTCCCCCCACAACACCCCTCCAGGCAGCCTAGCCCTCCCTCAGGACCCCCAACCTCCCACATCCTCACCCCCTCAGGAGCCCCCCATCAGGACCCATGATCCCTCAGGACCCCCCAGCG